TTACAACATTAATTTTAAAACTTTCGGTGGTTAACTGTATCCCATCCCCTCTATCTAGCCAGTAGCTGGGCGCGAGGCCAGGGTACGCGTAGTCCAGTCTCTCCAGGGAACCGACCTGCGTTAGAATTAACAAGCTGAAGCCAGAAAGCATTTTAAACCCTGTAAATGTTACCTAGGCAATAGCCGTCTCAGGAGTTTGGCCTTTGTTTTTATCCCATTTGCATCAGTTATGCCGAGAAGGGAAAGAATGAAGCCAAAAGCTAGAGAAACAGAGGAGGAACGGAGTGTGCTACATTGTTGTATGAGAGCAGTACTTGCAAAAAAGTTCCTGCTATCATTTATTAGAGGTAACAACGGCAAAGCTGCAACCCTGACAAGATTGTACAGGACTAGGCACCCTGATGAAACTTTTGTGCTTTTAAAAAGACTTTAAAAAAAGACAGACTGCAGCCATTCACGTGCCCCAAACAAGGGGGCTCTGGTGGTAATACCGCCAAGGACAGGATTTCCCCAGTCCTTAAATGCACTTTTACACCAATCAACATGCTGGCCAGCTGTGATGGTAGTTTCCCCACTTGTCTACTACAATCTAGACTGACACCCTTAGGGCATTTTACACACAAGTCCTCAACCATATATTAAATGGTGACAAATTGCACGTATTAAATTTGTACCGGAAACTCCGTATCATTACCAGCTCCTGTGCATAGACCCAAAACCAAAGATGGGAGCCACTTGCTGGCCTGATACTCCATCTTACTGTGACACTATTCTCAGTCAAATCAGAGTAAGAAATATATTGCCTGATCAAAAAGGGAACTAAAAAAAAAAGTACCTTCCCTACACAGCTGTCTGTTTTTACATATTATTAGACAAAGAGAACATATGAAAAATTGTAATTTTGACTTGAACTTTAATGAAGGTTCAGCTCCCCCGGGCTGCAGGGTTCAGAGGAGAGCGCAGGTATCCATGTTAACTAGCGTACACGCAGTTCTGTTGAGTAGAAGTCCAGAGGGCTTATTTTATAAAAACCCTCAGTTGACTTCTTTTTATGCAGTTTGCGCCATGAAATTTACTGATAAGTCTGTCTACCACCTTTACAGACGCACATACAATATTTCCTTCTCAGAAAAGATAGCCTTTGTCTGTATAAATTACTCGCTATTCGTTTAATTGTAAAAGAGCCACATGTGTAAGAGGCACTGTAGACCAAATACCTTAATAGGGCACATTTCAAAAGATCAGTGCCCCACCAAAGCCTGACAGTCCATTGGGCTGGTGTGATTAAGGCACACCAGTTGCAGCTGCCAACAGCGTTGCAACGCAGCGCTGCGGTCAGCATTGCATCTAGCTGCCTTTGCCTCCGAAACCTGAACGACCAGGTTCCCATTTACAGATGGGTCAGTTGTAGTTGGGTGTTAATCAGCCAGATCAAAGCTCAAACTTGCACCCATCAAGCCTTAACCACTCTCCCCACAGGAGAGCCCAGTGACCAGAGGCCTGTCTGTTAGGAAGGATGACTTATTCACCCTCAGAACAGACAATCCTAAATCAAAACCCCTCTCATCACTTTCCAGAGCTCTGTTAACGCTTCCGGCATAATTCACAAGCACATTTATAGCACAGATGCAATTATATAACCCAGCGGCACAGTAACACCTTGTTACATTTCTTCCCATATAAATAGCAGTCTGAATGACTTCGCATTGTGGCCTGTAGGAAACAAAAGAAGAAAAGGAAAAAGTCTCCACAAAAAGTGAGCCAGGCACAGTTCTCTCCTCCGTATTGTACTGCTTCAGCAAATTTCCTTCCCAAAATGGCCTCCTGCCTCATCATAGACACTTCTTAGAGATTTAAAGACCTTCAGGACTCAGGACACAAAGTGCAAGTTCCATCACTGAGCACAGGAGTCGAATCATTTGGAGGAGGCGACAGCAGTGTTGCTAACAAGCTCTCCGACACATCCGATTGCGTAGTAAAATCAGCCCCCAACCACGAGTGGAATCACCGAGCTGTAAACAGGGGTAACCAACTGGGTAAAATGTCCAGGGTCATTCTGCTCACAACTAAGATCAAATGGCCTTAAGGCCTCCCCCCGACCATATCACTGCTAAGCATCTGTGCATTTCCCATCCAGTTCCAAGACATAAACCTTCTTCCCTGACTTCAGCGAGCACTAATTAACAGTGATCATGCAGCCTTGGTAGAAGCGCACGACGGACAGCTCAGCCAAAGTGGGCAGAGAGGGAAGATAAGAGTGCAGCTGCTCCTTCCGGGCTGGTAGCCTGCCCTTAGCTCTGTGCCAAGGTTGCTACCTGGCTGAGCATCGGCAGCCAAAGCTACCGGAGGGAAGGTGCTGGGCAGCAGCGCTCCTGCTGTTTTATCCTGTCAATAAATTCCTCCTGGTCCCTACTTAGGTCACAGCTTTTTGATTGATGACATTCCTCATGGTGTGCATCAGGGACGCGGCCTCACTTGGAGGACTGAACCCTGTCTCAACCCAGCCCTGACAAAGTGGAGCCCAGGGCAAAGGTAATTATGTTGCATTCCTGGAAAGGTGATTTTAAAAAAAGTCAATGAATCATCCCTAGACTTCTACTCCAACCCTTTCAAGTTCCCTGGAAAACACTTTCATGGCAAGCAACAAAGGTATGCGGCTACATGAGTCTGAAGTTAGGCAGAAGGAAGGACAGGGCAGCACCTTACCAAATTAACTCATTCAGAGCCAAGAGCTTTTGTAGGCTAGAGCCCACTCTGTCAGATCCGATGCCGAAACGTACTGTGGCCTATGAAAGCTCATGCCTCTCTGAACAAGTTAGTCTATAAGGTGCCATTGAGAGCAGTTACTGACAAAAAAAAAAAAAAAAATGGATGGAACCAAACCCTTAAGTGACAGGTCAGCAAGCAATCGTTTTAAATCGGGTCCTGTCCTCAGGACTTACGTGGGCGCAGCAATGGGTAGCTTGGGTCTAAGATTTTTTACAAGATACCATGGATGTGTTACGGTTCTTAGTAACTACAAGGAGACAAATGTTGCATATTATGACGAAGCCTATGAGATGTAATCGGGAAACCATCAGACATGGGGACACGTGAGCTCTCCCCTATGGACTCCACTAGTTTCAAGAGTTCACCTTGTGATCAGTTCAGCTACACTAAACTAAACTAGTTATACTGAATCTTGGCTTCTACATGATCCATACATGAGAGACTTGGCAAGGGTAAATAATTGGAGGTAAGCAGGTCAGAAGGATTAGGTCCCTTGCTACACCATTCAGTAGCTGCAGAAATATAAGGAATTATTTCTGTGGTTGTCATAACAACATATATTGCCAGCTAAGCACCCTCAACTCCCTTAACTTTATTTGGAAAGTGGGTGTTCAGCAGTTCCAAGAGCCCAAAAAACAACAAACAAACAAAACCCAAGTATTATATAACTTAATAAAGGACTTACGCCTATAAACCCTCACTCAAACAAAACCTCTTTATCACTCCGCTGATGTTTTCTCAAAGTAAAAAGTTACAGAATCAGGCTCCAAATTAGAAAGCCAAAGAAATTAGTAACTGTAACTCCTTAAATTACATTTAAAATCCCCAGCCATCCATGATATTCGTTTGAAAAGAAAAGAAATGCATCCGATGGAGATCATTAGAGTGGTCTTGATTCTACTACAGTGTTTAATGGTGCTTATCAATCCTGTGGCATCACCATGTGCAGAGAAGTGTTTGATGTTTATGAAGTCTTAAGCAGATAATTACTCCTAGCAGAATTAATAAAGTGTGTGTTTATAGCCAAAAAAAAAAAAAAAAACCCAATCTATCTTTTCAT